AGGAGCTAGCTATGGCAACTGCTTTCTCGATTTCTTGTTATTGAATGGTTCTAATAATTAGATTTTTGCTCTGATACTTAACTGCAAACTCTGAACCTTAAAAGTACAATTAATAGTTACTTTAATTTTAAATATTTTTGAGATATTTTTCTTGAGATACTTATAGGCTGAAAATTTATATGTATATAAATTCTTATTGTGCATTTGCAGCATAAAAATGGTGAATTCTGAAGCAAATTTGCTTTAGAAACAAGAGATCTGTGGCAGTAACGGATCCAGTATTTTTGGTGTTTGTGATAGCTAACATGGAACAAAATCCAAACATTTGTATGTTTATACTTATGTTAAATAATGATGCTTTTTAAAAAGTTGCAATAATTATTGGAAGCTGGGAACAAAAAAACCCTAAAAATTTTTCCACCTGACCCAAACATGACAGAAAAACAACAAGTTGATGAATAATTTTTTTGCTATTCTTAATTAAATTTATATGCATTGATAAATTATAAGTATTGTTTTACAATCTCTAAGCATTCAAAAATTATGACCATATAAAATTTGTAACCCCTTTAAATTGAGGGGGGGGGTTAAGCTTTATATGGTCATAATATGAGTGCTGAGAGATAATATTATTAAACTTAAAATTTATCGATGAATATAAACTTCGTTAAAAAAAGCAAAAAAATTATTTTACCAACTTGTTGCTCTCGTGTTTGGGGCAAGGAGATAAAATTTTAGGGCTTTTTTTGTTCCAAGCCTCCAATCATCACAATATTTTGTAAAACATCATTGTTTGATAAAAGAAATAACATACAAATGTTTGGAGTTTGCGCCATGTCTGTTAGCAAACACCAAAAAATGCTGGATCCTTCACTGATTAAAAGTCCTTCACCCAATCTTTTTAGAAACCATTGTATTTGGATTTCTTTGATCTAAGACTCCAGTAACAGTATTTTAAAAAAAAAAAAACTTTAGATACCAGAATGAGCTAAAAATTATAAAGTTTGTTGTATGACAAACAAAAGCTCAAAGATCAGCAAAAAATCACTTTGCAATAGCCAAAGTACCAATTTATTATAGTCAGTGAAAGATAGGTACAACATATTTCTTAAATTAATGAGCACAGTGTTTTTTTTTGTACAGGAACACATTATGAAAATATCGTTAAACAAATTATGTGGATTTTACATCAGAATCTATATGCTTGGAAATTACTCTAAATTTAGTCAAAAATCATAAATGCGTAAGTTTGAACAATCAGCGCTAATACTTTTATTAAGAAAAAATAAAAAATAAAAAAACTTTAATATGAATATGATTTCTCGCCACTCATTAGCCACTCTGCATAGAAATCGGTTGTTTAAAAAAAAATAATGGGATTGGCTAATATATATATACAACCCTCGGAATTAGTAAAGATGAAGTCGGCAATAAGTTGCCGACCTCAATCTTTTAGAGGTCAGCATCAGGTCTGCAAAAAAATTTGAAAAGGTCTTACCATAAGACATAGAAATGATGTCTGCAATTTTTTGCCGACTTCAAACACTTTAAGGTCGTCAGTTAAGTCGGCATTGCCAAATGCCAATCCTAATTCTGAGGGCTGTATATATATATATATATATATATATATATATAATATATATATATATATATATATATATATATATATATATATATATATATATATATATATATATATATATATATATATATATATATATATATATATATATATATATATATATATATGTATATATGTATATATATATATATATATATATGTATGTATGTATGTATGTATATACTTTTGCCTGGTCATCTTTAATTTTTATTATAAAATGTTTGTTTTTTTAAAAAAAAAGTTTAGAAGACCAAAAAAAGTTGATAGTTTAAAAAAAAAAAAAACTTTTCAGTTGATAGGTTGCCTGCCCAAATCAAAACCCTCAGTCTAGCAGATGTAGCAGCACTCCTTGCATTTTCTAATTATTTATCTAATTGATGTAGCAGTACTCCTTGCATGTTCTACCTAATTGTCATTTGATGTATGTAAACATTAAAAAATGAAAACATTCAGAATGCATTTGCTTTTTTTTTTAAATAAAAAAACATTTTATTCTATTAAGTTATGTTTTTGTGGTATTACTATTTCAATTTTATTGTAAAAAATGATAAAATTTAAATAGTTTCCTCAATTAAATTTAATGATTTTTACAAAAAGTGTACTTGGTTTTGTCTGTTTTAAAGGCAATATATATGAGGAGTAAATTTTTATAAGTTGTTAAGTGCAAGTAAATTGATTTGAAGAAATCGAAGAAAAAAAAAAGGACTTCTTATAAACACCAGAAATTGATATTTTCTCTATCTTAGTAGCGCTTTATAACTTAGTTATAATTTATAACTTAGTTATAATTTTTAATTTCGTTATAATTTATAACTTAGTTATAATTTATAACTTAATTATAATTTATAACTTAATTATAATTTATAACTTAGTTATAATTGAAAAGTAAGCAATTTAGTATGACCTTAGACAAGTCCATGTTAATGAGAAATTGATATTTAAACATCAATTTGCATATTGAGATACAGAAATATTGGAGTCAGTCATATTAGAATGATTTTATTAAAAAAATGCATTGACCTAGCGAAAACTGATTTAGAGTGCATTAAGATAAATTACAATGAAGATGTGTTTCACTACTAATGGATGGTGATAAACCAAAATTTTGTTTCAGAATTAGTTTTGGTTGAAATTTAAATTTAAACCAATACCATTATTTCTGTTTCAGTACTTTTTGTAAAATTGATAAGAAGCAAAATTTCAGTTGAAAAAAAGAAAATCAAAATTTTTATTTTTTATTTAACACGTTCACGCCAGCGTGTACCACCAGTGGTACACACTAGACTGTCTCATTGGGCGGCGTGTACCACCGGTGGTACACGCCGCCCAATGAGACAGTCTAGTGTGTACCACCAGTGGTACACGCTGCCCAATGAGACAGTCTAGTGTGTACCACTGGTGGTACACGCCGGTGTGAACGTGTTAATGTAGAATAATTTTTGACAATTTCCAAAAAATATTTTATCATTTCTAAATGAAATTTAAGCCCATCATTTACAAATTACTTAACTTTTTATGCTTCCTAAAATATTAAAATAGCAAATAATCAAACCTTTGCAGTGTGCATATTATTTTGAATCGTTTAATTTAAAGTTCATAATATTTTAGCGTTTAATTTAAAGAAAACAATTTTTGTTTAAATAGTCTAAATAGAAAGTGAACAAGGCAAATAATTTGGGGATGTAAGCTTTTAGTTATTTTTATAGCTTTTTATGAGTAATTTTATTTTTCTTATTATTTATTTATAACTATTAGTTTACTATTATTGTATAAGATGGAAAGAAGTCGTCAAAAAAATAAGCAATAAATGTAAGAAAAAAAAAATCTACATAAAACAGCAAATGTAAAATTGCATTTTTAGATTTGCAAATCAAGCCATCATGTTTTAAAAGCAACTTGATTTTGCCATTCAGTTAGGCATATTGTACAAAGCTTTATAAGGAAAAAAAATTTAGTGGGGGTAACAACAGCAGTATTAAAGATAATTTAATAATAATCGAAATTCAATAATAACCAAAATTTAAAAAAATAGCTGTTAGTTATTTAATTTAAAAAATTTCCAACGGAAAAGCTTTTCTGTTTAAATTTCAAGGTAAAGAAAATTGAAATGGTTCAAACAATATTTACAATCATGTTCTTTACATTACATTTAAAGACTTTAACATTACTTTACATTAAAGACATTTAGAGACAAACTGATCATGGTAATCAATGATAAAAATCTGCAAACAGCAGCTAAATACCATCATAGGCCTAATAATAACTAATAAATAGAAAATGGCTGCTTTTGAAGCTAAAGAACTTACAATCACTATTTATGAATTACTAACAAATGATTAAAATTAGTTTTTTCAACAAGTGTTCATAAAATCTTAAGATTTTAAATGCTTTCTCAAGGTAAGGTTTTTAATTATGTAAATAATAAAGAATATATAATTTTATCATATCTGGTCAGATCACTCTGCTACTGGTAAATTAGAATCCAGTAGAACCTACTTTATATGCGCTATGGTGAAAGCAACTTATCTAGGAAGAGAGTTCTAATATAAATTCTCCAATTTAACGATGGATAATGGTAGGAAGAACTTATAAACATTGAATGGTAATCTACCTTGTGGTAATATATTATTAAAATGCTAAATAAAATACTAAAAGTAGTACAATGATAAAGTAATCTGCAAAACAGTTAACACCAAGATATCTGATTGTGAAAAATTCTTTTAAAAAATTTTAGTTTTTATAAAACAAAAAGAATACCATGTATATAAAATTAAAGTTAAAACTTTGTTAACGATTTAAGTTACATGTTGCTCTAAATGTTTATTAAATTAAGATAAATAAAGATTTATTAAATTTATATTCATTCATATTCAGGTTACATAAATTTTCATTTGTTTACAAAAAAGTTTTAAACCTTTATAGCAAACATTCATTTTAATTCTTTTTGTATAACTAATTTTAATAACAATTCTTGGAATTAGTTACATTTATTATAGATACATAAATTTAAATTTATTGTTTTAGTAAATGTTTTGATGTGTTAATAAGTGTTTTAAAAGTTTATTAAGTGTTTTAATGTGTCAATCTATGTTATGGTAATCTATAATTACTATCTATATCTATAAATACTATATATATAAATACTATCTATATGTTAATAATTTAATCTCAAAATAGTCTATATATTATTAATATTGTATTTAATCTATAAATAATATCTATTTGGCATCTACTGTAAATGTTTTTAAATAAATTGTAAATTTTAACTTATAATTTATATGTATATTATTTTTGTAATATTTTGTAAATTGTAATAAAATATGAATGTTTTGAAATTAGTCTGAAGACATTGTTTGTTAATGAAACTTTTCTCTTTTAGTTGTTTGGGATATTTTGAGAAGTTGGGTAAAACTGCATCCTGTGAATCAAAAAAAAATATCATCAAACTCTCCTGCTTCTGTTATCCTTAGCAAAGAATCAAAGTTTACTGCTAATTTTGAAATAATTCAAACTGCTGTTCCACAATCAAAGATGATGAAACTGCTGAGATATCCAGAGAATCCTGAAGCAGACTGGGGGCCAAAATCAAAGTAATTTTAATATAGGTTTTGTTACAGGGAAAAAAGAATTAGGCAGGTCTATCTTTTTTTTTACTTTACCAAGAATGAGGGCTGTTAAAGTCATTGATGTTCTTAAATAATTTAACCTTGGCATGCATGGCTTTATGCAAAACAACCAAGTTAGTAAGCTTTATCCATAAATGCAGACTCTTTCACTGTCATTCTTTCATTGTTAAAATTTTGTCTTTTTATCTTTGTCCCTATCTTTTCCTACAGAAATTAATTCCCTGCATGATAAAATTCATCCTAGGCTTTTTATTTCCCCTTTTCCTGACCTATTAGACAAATATTTTAATTTTTTTGACATGTTGGAACTTATCTTACTATCAAGAACATGGTGCTCTGTCACTATACTGCTACTGCTATTTAATATTAAATGTTCAAACTAAGATATACATATTTAATATTATTTAATATACTTTCTATAATTTAAAACTTTCTTCAAAATATCTTGAACAAAAAACAAAAATAAAAACATTTTTTTAATACAAAAATTAAATTTTTGATTTTTAATTAAATTTTTCTTAAAAAACTACAATCCTTCATTTAATATGTACTATATTTTAGTTTTTTATAGTGTTTTTTAATGTATATGTATTTCGTTTGAGGAAATTTTCAAAAATAAAATTAAAAACATGATTTATGAAAATATTTAGAAAATAAGTTTTAAAACTTACCTATTATATTTGATCACTCTACACCAGAGTTAATAACAAGGCCAAACATAGCAAGGCAAAGACCACATGCTTCAAGACCAAGCCCAAGAGAAAGGCCAAATGTTTCTAGGCCAAGCCCAAGAGTTTCAAGATCAAGGCTAAGGCCAAGAGTTTTAAGGCCAAGGCCTATGCAAAAATTTTCAAAGCCAAAGATTTGAATTTACATTAAGTCTAATTGTGAAAAACATTTTTTGCAGAAAAGAGAAAATGCTATAGGTTTTCGTTTTCTTCATTCTAATGGCAAACTCAATCAAATTACAACCAGTTTTTACAATATGCAAAAACTTAGATTGTTGTAAACAATTATGCAGAAAAAAAATGTGGATATGATGCAGGAGTTTTTACATAAGTGTAAACAAACAACATGAGACTAATAACCATAGACAAAGTAAGTTATGCCATAAAAGAATCTGAAAAAAGCTGCAGCAAGATTGCAACCTCAGAACAACACGGCTCCCACAATTTTGGCAAAAATGAGATTTTTGTATCAAAATTCTTGAATTTTAATAGAAAAATTTTCTGCCAGTCTATAACCAGTATCAATTTTATATTAAATTTCTGAGCATCAAAGTTCTATCCTAAATTAAAATAAATTAAAAAATCACAACAACAAGGTTTTCAGCCTTGTAGCCTCAAGATTACAAAACTTTTGTAATCTTTAATTTACTTTTGATTAACTACTGATGTTTGTGTTGTGTGAGTTGTCAAATTCTTTTCTGACGTTCTAAAAGTTTATATGTTTGTTTCTTGGAGTTTTTTGGTGTGTTTTGTCACCAACAACATATTGTGATTTTTATTGCTAAAATAAATGATTCAGTAAAAAAACAAAGATGTTGATAAAAATATCATCACAGTACTTATCAAATAATTGAAATATGCTTCTTATAGATTTAGTGAGCAGTGCTAAGAGCTTCAATTCTCAGCATTCATATTATTGATGTTATGTTCTCTTTGATGCAAGATCAGTGAGGATATGAATGGAGGGGCTAAATAGCACAATATAGAACCTTCATCAACTTACGTTGTTTGTAATCTATATGATAGGTACATCTAACATTTCATTAAAATTTTGTTGAATACAATTATTATTAACATCATCTTATTTTAATTTCCAATAGAAACTGACGTCATGGTAGAAATTGAGCTAAATTTAGACAACTCTTTAAAGTTGAAAAAGAAGATAATTTATGGTGAGGTTTAGAATTCATTGAAATAATCTGGAATTTGTTTCAAAATTAGATAGAGGTATTAGAAAATAATATATCTATATCACTTTTGCTTTCAGTGGTGCAATTGCTTATTAAACTAATTGTTTAAGTTACTGTTTTTACAATTGCTCAAGAAATATTTCTGAAAGAAAAATGTAATGCATTAGTTAAATAATATTTTGTATCTCAGAACAACTGAGAGAAAGTTAGTTACTAGAAAATATGTGAGTTCCACCTAAAGGAATTAAACTTTTTTTCTATTTTTTTTTATGTAAAGAGTGATAAAGTAGGAGTATGTAAGACATTTTATTTAGACACTCTTAGCATTTCACAAAGACCTATATATAATGTATATTCTAATATGACAGTCAAAGGAAAAAGAAACACAGTATACACAGTAGTAGTAAGTATTCCAAAATAACTTGATGAGAGAGGAAAATAATAAATATAAAATCGGAGATGTTCTTTTAGTCATGTTTGACTTACAAGTTATAATGACTCCAAAAAAGCTTTTGGGCAAACTAACTCCACTCCAAGATTGTAGTTAGTTTTCATCATTCATTTTTTTAAATTTTATGTTTATGCCTCCACACTCTTATGGATTACACATTTCCTCAAAATTCTCTCTATTTTCTATTTTTGCAAGCAGATAAGAAAAACTGAGTAATTTTATTGTGACGCATTTCAAGAAGCCACAATCTTCTTTATCGCATCAAAGTACTTTTTACTGTGTCTTTTTTTTGTCTGTGAAATTGACAACTTATTAAATTATTCAAAAGTATTTTACTTTTAAAATGAATTTTTCTTTTTAAAAATTACAAAAAATAATTCTTAAATAATATTTTATATAAAGTGCTACACACAAAAAAACATGGATGCTTTTGTAAAAAACTTTACCCACGTTCTTCTAATTATGCTTAGTATGGTTTCAACAGAGAAAGATTCATGCAACCTCTACAGGGCTTTGTCTTAGAGTATATAGAAAGCTTTATTTCCCACCAAATCCATGTTTTGTTGCTATAGTCCTGTATTACAGGACTGTGTACATACCATATAATAATATGATACAACCATACAGTGGTTAATTATGTAATTCAAAAACATGGATTTGAAAGACAAAAACAAATTTGAAATATCAAAATTGCTTTTTTTAAGTAGCACTTAATATATTTAACTAAATATTTATCTTTTTAAGATCATCTTTTTGTAAAATAATTATTAGAAGGGAAAGAAAAAATTCATGCTGCTGTCTTGGCCGCAGCATAGGGGTTTTAACATGTGCTTGTTATAAAACTTATATTGTATATTGTTTTATAAAATTCAAATACAAGCTAAAAAAATTATATATGTTCCGCTTACATCATTTGTTATAAAACTAAATAGGAATTTATAAAGCCAAAAAATATTTTATAAGAAAGCATTCAACTTTTTAGTCATTATCCAAGAGTTTCTAAAATTGGCAACAGTTAAGATAATGAATATATGCGGTAGTGTTGTAGTGGTAGAGCGCTTGCTTCATAAGCAAGAGGTTCCAAATTCGATTCTCACCACATCCCTGCTTGACTTGTTTCTCCATGCCTTGACTTGTTTCTCCATGCCTTGACTTGTTTCTCCATGCCTTGACTTGTTTCTCCATGCCTTGACTTGTTTCTCCATGTCTTGACTTGTTTCTCCGTTGCCTTGTTTGTCAAGGTTCTTGTTTCAGAGTTATAGAGTTTAGAGAGATTATAACCACAAGTAGCCTCCTCATCATCAAGTAGCCTTCTCAGCCTTGGGGAGGTGAATTACAAAAATATATATATATACACGCACACACACACACACACACACACACACAAACATATTGATATAATGTAAACCAATATAAAAGTATGTATGCCAAACAAAGTAACAAAACTAATTATAAAAGTTTCTATTTTTTAAAAATGATTTATTTTATTATTTATAAGGTTTACAAATCAGATTTGTATAGGCACGAATGCCTGTCAACCTGTCATACAAATACACTAATCGTAAATTATTTTTTCTTCTTTTAGATCATTGTTTAGTTTGTTTTTAAAATTTCTCAAAGATTATGCATTTACAACGTCGTCTGGGAGGGAGTTCCATTTGTTTACTACTCGTAAGGTGAAAAAGTTTTGACTAGTAGCTAGACAAGAATAAGGTTTAAATGAATGACCTCTTGTAATAGAATTTATAATTGTTTTTGGAAAAATCGTTAGATAATTGTAGCAATTGTTTAGCTATTTATAGATGTTTATTAAATCTCCCTAGATTAGTCTGTATCTTATGGTTGTCATATTAATTTTAAATAGTGTTTGGTGACATGTAAAACTTTGTAATTCATCAAATAATTTAGATCCTTTTCTTAGTATTTTTTTAACTTTATTGTTTGTCTTTAAGTAGACGAGAGTTATATACAGATCCATAATATTTTAAATATGGTCAAACTAGTGCTGAAAATAGTCTTTCAAAATAAAATAAATTTAGATAAGAAAAGGATTTTTTTATTAGAAATAGCATTCGTTTAGAGAATAGTAAGTTATTATCGATATGTACACTGAGGTCAGTTGGTAAATTTATGTCAATCCTCATTTTCTTCACTGGATTGTACATAGAATAGACATGATGTTTGTTTTTGTATCTTAGGTGTAGAACTGAACATTTTTCTACATTATGTTTCATCTCCCATTTAGTTGCCCAGTCAACTAAGATACCAGTATCATTTTGAAATACAATGTGTGAATGCAAATTAGTAGGGTAAAATATTTTTGTATCGTCAGCAAAAAGTGCTGCATTTGAAGTAATTTTATTAGGAATATCATTAACGTATATAATGAATAATAGAGCTGAGAGAACAAAACCTTGGGGAATTCTACTTTTTATTGGTAGCCAATCAGAGTAGTTACCATTTATCATTATTCTTTGTCTTCGTTTGTGAGAAAGTTTCTTATCCAATACAAAATCAGACCATAGGCTTTTTGTTTTAAAAGCAAACACTCTTGTGGGACTTTGTGGAAAGCTTTGTTGAAGTCAAGGTAAACAT